GATGTACAAAATAGTAATGATACCATGCAGTACTATTTGTTTTTACATCCACATGTAATAATTATAAAAAATGTATTAATAGCCTACATCAAGTTGTTTTTTGCAAATTGAGTTATGTTAAGAATAGGTGTTACCATTTCTAGCAATAAAGCAGGTGTTAGGATGTTCAAACACTAAATAGATACCTTTTGCAAGGAATCCAGTCTGCATTAACCACTGGTGAGGCTAGGCCATAAATAACCCTGTCTGTAGTGTAAGCCAATCATTTTCAAAGACAATGCATATATTATCAGAGTATGTTTGTTTGCATGTTTTCCACAAGTACGTGTGGTTAATGCAGACTTGATTCCTTGCAAAAAGGTGTCTATTTGGCGTTTGAACATCTTAACACTTCCTATTCTTATTTTTCCTACTTTGATACGAGTTTTTTTTATTCGTGAGAGAAAGTTTCCATCTACTAAAAATCATAACCATCGCGCAAAACCTAACGATCGAAACAGAATGTGCCCAAGATAAGCCTTGGGTGATTTTCAAGGCTTTCACAAGAGGGGTCCCCATATCATCGTGTTTGGACCAATATAATGTGTGTGTGGCATGTTGCAGTAAACTGGTGTATCCGGGGTGATACCCACACACAAACAAGGGGGGTTTACCACTCAACACAGCTGTCTTCCCCTGCCCAGGGGGTCAGAAACTAAAATAAAAAGAGCCATTTTTTAATCTATGTCAATACGAGACGGCGGTCCTTGAAAACCAACTTCACGAAGCCAGTCCTTAAAGAGCCACTGCATGCGGCTCTGGAGCCGGCGGTCGCCGACCCCTACCCTTACCCCATCGGCTCCACACCTACAACATCTGACAAGCCTTGGCGGTCACCCATCCAAGTACTAACCAGGCTTAATTTGGCGTAACTAGCAACTCCCAGTCAACCAACTGCTTTTTGAGTTTCGTTCTAGATTTGAAGCTTTCGTGACTGCAAGGATTCATACTCTTTGGTTTTTTCGGTAAAGTCACGTAGGTCAAAAAATAAAATAAATGAAAACAACGAAATTAAAACACGACGTTTCGGGCGCAACACAAGCGTCCTCCTTCAGGTGGGGGCAACGTAGCGAAATCACAAATGCTTAGACACACTGAAGCGTTTGTGCTTTCGCTACGTGTGAGACACACTCAAGCGTTTGTGCTTTCGCTACGTTGTCCCCACCTTGAAGAAGGACGCTTGTGTTGCGCCCGAAACGTCGTGACTTAATTTAGTTATTTTCATTTATTTTATACCTACGTGACTTTACCGAAAAAAAAACAAAGAGTATGAATTTTTGAGTCTAGTTTGTTGCCCTTCCCCTGCACCTCTGATTAGCATGGTTAGCTACGTACGGTGCGAAATAAGTTCAATGTACATACATGCATTAAATTCGCTGGTCTAAAAATAAAGTAACGTTTCAGCTTTGCGACAGTGCGCAACAAGCCCACAATTCTTCTGTCCCCATTGTTGTTTTTCCACAAGAGCGTCAGGCTGCAGCACCCATCCTTGCATAAGACAGTTCCGTGACAACCGGCCGCATCATCGTAACTTACTATGTCTACCTTGCACGCCGTATAACAGTACTTGCAAAGGTACTTGAAAGTGCATTTTTATCTACTCGATAAACCATTCTTACCAAGTATCGCACACTACAGAACTAAACGCGAATCACATACAAACCCGTTACATTCACGAATAATCCAAAATTGACAAATATGTACATAGAGCTTACAAGTCTAAAAACAAATCTAAGCACATCTGGTTGATATAAAAATAAAAAGCCCACAATCATTCATAAAGAACATACATGTGTATATATATAATAAAACAGGTGACGTTTTGGGTAATAGCCCTTCTTCAATAACACGGCCTTCATGTTGTGCTATGACCAGGGGTCAGCAACCTGTCGCTCCTGAGCCGCATGCAGCTCTTTAAGGACTGCTTATTTATTATGGACCACTACCGTCTCGTATTCACACATACCTGTCAACCCATACTGTTTACCCGAATTCTTGTACATGTAAATTAGTTCAGGTCCATACATCGGAAAGCCGTTTCAATACGAGCAAAACAAATGTTTGTCTATTTTTTGTCTTTCTCCCTTGTGATGGGACTTTGAAGGATGAACACGCTGAGATTTATAAGAGCACGGGGTGACCAAAAAGGTCTGAATTGGTCTGTAATAAGGTAGGCACTGATAATGGGTTGACAGGCATGTAATCAACATGCATTGCAGCTCTTGAAAGAGGTTTTTTTTTTGTTTACCGAATTCGAAAACAGATGTCTCTTGTTATTATGGTTGCAGACCCTCTGGCTAATGTGTTCAGCTTTGTTTATTGTGCTTGTGCACGTACCACTGCCAACTAAGCAGCATCGACATCGTGCATCTCTGTTATGCAACTCGGCGAGGGACAGATAGCGTGTGCAAAATGTTCAAATCGTCTGTTTAAATCGCCTTATTGCCACCGTGTCGGGCAACGACATCACCTACAGGGACGACTCCCACTATGCCACGGTGGCGAGATGTCAGCTACCTCGCCTGGTATGCACGGAGGTCGTCAGTTTGATCCCAACCCTGACGCCTGCTGTATATTTGGAGTGTGCATTTAGAATCAACATGTGTTTAGAGTATGTGGTTGCTATAAAGTTCCACATTATGAGCCACTTCGTTGAGCAATCATTTTCTGGCCAGGTCACTTCTGAAAAAGAGATTTTTTAGCTCAGTGGACCTCATCTGGTAAAATAAAAAAAAATAGCTTAAATAGTTTATGCCTGTAGGAGTTCAGGTTACACGCTTATTTCGTTTAACAAGGTGAGATAAATCAAGTGACCAGGATGGTATCATTTGAATGATGGAACGTCTGTACGGTGAACTTCTTTCGCACCGTACGAAGCCAACCGAGCCAATCGGATGGTGGCTATGATGTGATGATGATGGAGGAGTTATGACGACGTTAATTACGAGGGTGGCGTTGATGCCACGTTCATGATGTTGTTGCGTCCATAAAGTCGTTTAGAAGTCCCTGCCATGGCCACAGAAGCAGTTAATTAACGTGATCCAGATGTTGGTGGGAAAAGTTATACTATTACCCAAGTCAGGGGTCGGCAACCAAAAACAACAAGAGCCATTTTTTATTCGGTAAAAAAATCCCCTAAATATATCAAGTATCGCAATGCAATGCGAACACGAAACGGTGGTAGTCCTTTATAAATAACGCTACGAAGCACAGCAGTCTTTAAAGAACCACTGCATACGGCTCCAGGAGGGCCGAATGATACAATAGGCATACAAAAAATATACCCATGTGTTTTTTTGTTAGTTTGATGAAAAGGAACAAAGATATATTCTTGAACAAATATATTTCTACAGCAAGGATAAGCACGGTGGATATACAAAGAGGCAGAGAGTCATGACATTGTCAATCTCTTTTTTTCACAAGGCGAGAGACCTTAACACCGGAGACGAACTTTCCGATGTTGTTTTTTCATTGCAAAATTAGCAAATTAAATCCCACCCCACACACGACCTCATTCTCGAGAGAGAGTAGTGCAAGGGAAGACAAAGCCGCGTTGTTACTCTATGGTTGATCGGAGACGGTGCTTCTCTCTCTCTCATCTATGAAGAACCCGTCTCCCGCCACGGGAACGTGGAATTTCCAACAACGGAGCAAGGAACGTCTGTGACCCGGGGGGGGGGGGGGACGCGATCGAGTGATGATTTGCGGGGCCCTGTAACTCATTACACGACCTATAAAACAACAAAACAACACCTATTGTACTTAACTCGCGGATAACAAGACCACAACGCATTATCGCCTACACCAACTTAGGAACCCGACTGAAGTGCGATTATTTAAAATACACAAATAAACAGAGTGGTAACAACGCTTTAAAGCCAAAACGTGGCAAACGAAACAATTACCGGCAACCCAAATAAGAGGAAACGGGTGTGGGGGTTGGGGCGCTGTCGTTTGCGTTGAGAAGCTCACGGAAAAACTTTGTTTGGAGTTGCCAAAAAGTTTCCTTTGCGCGATAGTCGCCCTTACAAAGTAGTCGCCCCCTCGACAACGTACCGAGGGGTAAAACCTTATTATAAAGTATACAAAAGACAAAGATTCCCCCCCACGTGTAGACTGAACAGACTTGTGTTGCTGTTAGTGACTAGCACCTATGAAGGCCGGCACGGCACACCAAGGGGAAGGGGGGAGGCAGCACCACGCCCGGCCGCCTTTGTCTTCCTAGTGACGTTGATGACACACCGCACCGGGTTCTCATTTTAGAAATCAGAATATTCATTGCTGGAGGAATCCGATGAGCTATAATGCTCCGCTTCACAAATGTCCAGTAAGGGGCAGGTCAGAAAGTTACAATAGCGGTCCAAAGTGCATGAAAAGTAAACAAATAACTTGAAACATATACACAGAAAACGAAGGCCGAGTCGACCTAGGGGGGGGGACCATTACTGGTTCAGATATTCATCACTGTTATCTGTTGGTTGGTCGTGAGCTGGGGATGGAACTCGATTTCGTAGCGCAGCGCGCTAACCGCTGCACCACCGCTCACCCACACGGATCCTTCAATACAACATCACGCCACAACATACAACTTAACTATGCGCGTATGCTGCACGGTAAACCGATATACAAGGGATACTTTGCGCTGCAAACGCGAGGCATCGCTGGTAAATATATATTTTACAAGTCTCGTATTTGTATGCCTTCCGTCATTCGAAAGTCGATTTTGACAAAATAAAATTGATGGCTGGGAAAACAAAACAAAAAAGAAGTAGCGCCTAAAGAAGTAGATCTTAGCGGCACCACTTTTGCCGAGCTGGGAGCCACAGCGCCGGCTCGGGCTACGGTGCAGGGGGCATGGCAGGGCAGCAACAGGGCATGGCAAGGCATGGCAGGGCATGATAAGGCAGCAGCAGGGTATTGTGGCAGGCAGGGCAGCAACAGGGCAGGGCAGGCTCTCTCACCTTGCGCCAGGGAGGGTCCGCTATGCACGGGGGTGGAGGAACCCCCCGGTTGCTGCTCCTGCGGCTGATGTGGCGGAGGAGGAGGGGGCTCTGCCCGGACCCCTCGGGCCACCACCGCGAGGAGCGCCAGCAGCACGCCTCGCGCCGCCATGCTCGGTGGGTGGACTCGAGTCGCCCAAAACGTCGGGAGTTTTAAAAAGATCCTCGCGTCCGTCCTCGTGGCGAGTCGAAAGCCACCGCGGGGGTCGTCCTTGTTGAGGGTCTCCCCCCCCCCCCAACTTGTGAGAGTCGCGCGCCGCCTCTCGGCTCTGAAAGGCGGGGGAGGGAGGAGGAAGGGGGGGGGGATCACAGACGCTGCAGCGTTACCGTGGAATGTGTCGATGTACGTTGAACTTCTATTGCACCCGCACGTAGCCCAACAGCGCTGATGGGAAGTTACGAAGGAAGCGCCGTCGGTGCCACCGCCGCCGCCGGCGTCCTCGACAGCGAATCCATCACAAACATCTCTCGCTCACTCGCACCAAACTTCCTTCTCTCTCTACCGCTCTCTCTCTCTCTCATCACCAAGACACCACCACCGGCGCCATATGGTGCGCGCCGCACAGACGGACCCCTCTCTTGTCCACAGAGCGCACAAGAATGCGCCGTAAATTACATGGGGGAGGGATGGCGAGAAGTGTGGTGGTGGTGGTGGTGGGGTTGCCGTCTTTCTTCGCACTTACGTTTTGCCACGACCGCTGTGTAATAAGTCTTGGGGGGGGGGGGGCAAGTCAATGGTTGTCTTTTGTTGCGCCCCGCACTCAAGAGGAGAGACGCGAGGGAGCGGCGGACGAACGCTGGGAGTGGGGGGGGGGCTGCTGCTGCTGCTGCCGGTGACTGCGTGGAGCGCTCGGGTGCCGGGCTGCGATCCTCGGTGGTTATATAGGGCCCTCCTCCTCCTCCACAACCTCCTTACTCCTCCTCCACCACGGCCACCACCAACCACCTCCTCCTCCACAACCACCAGCAAACTCCTCCTGCTCGTCCGCTCTCTGCTCCACCACCAATCCTACCAACTCCCCCCCCCCTACTCACCCACCCACATTCACTACTCACCGCCGCCCCACCACCAACTATCCCAATTTACCCTTTCGCTTCCAGAACCCCCTTCCCCCACACAGCGTCGAAACCACTCCCGACTCGGAGCTAAGCGAAAAAAAAATCGCCCCCCCCTCCACTCCCCTGGCCCCGTTCCCTCCTTCCTTTCCCTACCCCCTCGTACAGACGCGACGTCTAGCGAGCGGTGAGCAATATGGGGGGGGGGGGAAAGAGCAACTTGTGTAGAAAGAAATCATGCGGAGGTGGTTTCCGGATGAAATCACGTCTCTGTTGCAAGCCCAATACAAAAGCGGCACAGCTCGCTGTTGGGAGCTCTGTACAAGCTGCTGGGTGATGTGGGTGGGGGGGGGGTGATGTGGGTGGGGGGGGGGGTGATGTGGGGGGGGGGTGATGTGGGTGGGGGGGGGGGGTGATGTGGGTGGGGGGGGGGGGGGTGATGTGGGTGGGGGGGGGGGGTGATGTGGGTGGGGGGGGGTGATGTGGGTGGGGGGGTGATGTGGGTGAGGGGGGGGACGAGACGCGCGCCTCTTACACACTCCATCGAAGCCGGTCTCAGACGCAGTCGAGACACTAAACTAAATTTATTTTATTTTATACCTACGTGACTTTACCGAATAGAAGCAAAGAGTATGGATCCCTGCAGTCACGAAAACTTCAGATCGAGATTTCAGTCGAGACTGTTTAGACGCAACGAATGCCAAAGGGACACACACAGACGCGCGGCGCGCTTTGAGACGCGCTTCTGCGGCCGTCTGGAACGCTCTTGCTTCCGGTATTAGGAAGCCACTGGGAGCTGTGTACTTTTAAATAATTTCGATTGAAAACTAAGTTACTTAGAACTGTCTTTTGGTGTTTAGTTTGTTATCCCCCCCACCCCCCAGGCGCACCTCCGATATAGCGCGGTTGGCTTAGTACGGTGCGAAAGAAGTCCAACACACACACACGAATGTTTCATGGCTGTTCGTCACGCTCTGATAATTAACGCGCACCAAAAGCGGCGGTGATTGGCGCTTTGCGCTCTGAACCTCGCCCGCCTCGGCTCGATTCCCCATGGGCTCCCCTTTCGCAAACCCGCAGTGACCAGCGAAGTGAAGTATGGTCAAAAGCCCCCCCCCCACACCCCACCCATGAGTGAAAGGCGCAAGGCTGAGGCCTTCATCCAGAAGTTGATTGATTGAGAGAGAGAGAGCTGTAAAAGACGAGCGGATGTGTGGCGTGCTTCTGTGATGGCACCTGCGTTCCGACTCGCCGCTTCCTGCCCATTGTCGGCTAATTGATTATTGCCACAATCCACGCCACGGATATAATCAAAGAATTGGGGTTGTCACGCCGTGGCGATACTAAAAGCTCCGCGAAGCCCAAACAGAGGCAGCGATTTTCAAATGTTTTCTCCAGGTTCCATGGGCCCACCAATCACCCAACGCAGCCAATGACAACGATTAACAATGATATTCGAACAAAGTTTTGCCGGCTGGTTGGCTGGCGGGACGGTCAGTCACGTGCAAAAAGACACGCGGGCTGCTCGTACTGTGTATAGAAATACGACTTAAGTTGTGTTAAAAAATATATATATTTAACTTCGGCTGACGAATGGCAGCTTCTAGAATCGAATATTGTGTTACAGCCCTTTGCCAATCGACTGCTGGATGAAAGTCTACCCACGCTGCGTCTACCATGGGGGTTGTTTGACCATCATTCACCACGCTGGTCTGTGCGAGTTGGTGAAGCGGGGGGAGGGCAGGGGGGTTAGGGAGAGGCGTTGCAAAACCGGTTCAGATATCACTAAATCACTCGCAAATGATGTCAGGGGTGGCCGGGAACGGCCTCTAATCATAGCCGATGGTAATATAACTGCACAGACCCGGGTTCTATTGGGCCGGTGAGAAAGATGGTGGTGGTAGTGGTGGTAAGGCTGATGCGTAACTGCGTAATTGTTCCCTATCAGTCGTGTCGAGTTCCGTCTGCTTATTAGAAGAAGCGCCTTGCCCACGGCGATCCGTTGGGAATGGGTGCGGCTCTGGACGGGAGCCACTCTTACTGATAGCTCGGAGATTGTACGATAAGTGAAATAATTCTCCGAAGCAGTTTCACAATCTACCACGGGGCTCCATTAGTGTAGATGGCAGGTACACTGCATCTGCTGCACGGTTGTCCCCCCGTTGTCTCTTCGACCACCAACAACATCCCCAACTTTAATTACCCTTCTGTCATGGAAAGCGCACTCTCTGACGACGGGGCCTTCGTGAATAGGGGCCACATGCGGTGCGATTTAAATACCCGGGCGACACACGCACACACGCACGCACGCACACGCGAACGACGCCGTCCCGGTAGGTGGCCTTTATATGCGAGTATGTGTGTTGAACTTCTTTCGCGCCGTACGTAGCCAACCGTGCTAATCGGAGATCCGGGAGGAAGCACAACAAACTAAATGCACACAAAAAGCAGTTTTAAAGAAATTAGTTTTCAAACTAATTTCTCTAAAACCCAACGGGTGGGATGATTGTGCGTACCCGGGCGGGCGCGGTGTCACCCACCACCGATCCACGTCAACAGGCAAACTTCTACCACGCACAACTCAGATCAGAGCTGTCGATCGGCCAATGAAAAATGCACGATCAGCGGCTCGGAGTGACTATCAGCACTGGGGAGACAAAGGCGGCCGGGCGTGGTGCTTGTCCACACCACTGCCTCGTGGGCCGTTGCGGTCCTTAATAGGTGCTCGCTAACACCATTTGGCCCCAATGTACGTACGCATAGGAAACGGAGGGGCGGGGGGGGAGGGGTGAAGCCTCGATAATAATTTGTCTACATTGACCTTCCAATTAGTTAGATAATCTGGCGGTGGACTGTTTGCTTAAACACGTGACGTTTCTGCGTGGATTAAATATCGGCCGTTCTATAGGATTCGGGGGGGGGGGGGGGGGTGCGTCAGGCGTACGTACGCAGGTGGGGGGGGGGGGGGACAGATTTTTGCGTACCTACTCAATGGATGGCCCCCTACAGGCGCGCTGCTTAAACATGGGTTCATGCAGCCCGGCTATTATTGTAGGGCATGCTGTTCAACTAGATACTCCGGCACCAGTAATGTAGCAATAAAACAAAGCTCACGTCGTAAGTCTGTAGAATAGGTGAACGTTTCCATTAGCAACAAAACAACTCAACACATTCATGCATCACAATGTTGGCCTTAAAAGAAATATGAAAGGCGACGTTTCGGACAATGGCCCTTCTTCATAGCATACAGAGGCCAGAAAGATATGGCCTTCTTCAGCGGAGAGATATCGCTGCAATCTGCACCACCGCACCGTTTTCTGCAAAGTGGAAACATCTTCCAGAACAGAGAGCACGGTACAGAACATGATGCAGAGTGTTCAGCGACAGGAGATATGTAGGAGGAGAGGTGACAAAAACTACACCCTCACCACGAGCGGGCGCGTTCAGCCACCGGCAAAACTTGAAGCGCAACTCAGAACCAAAGCACCGCGCGCATCCCAGGACCCCCTTCTCCAAACAGGACTGCAACCCCATAGGGGAGGCTCATGAACACTATGGAGCATGCCATGTAGGTGATACAGAGGGGGGGGGTGCGTGTGTTTCAAGGGAGGTAATGGTCTATTCCAATGTATAGTGATTGTAATGTTCGATTAATGATTCGCTCATGTTCGTGAGTATTGCGTGTTAAGGAGACAATGAGAGCTACCTACAATTCAACGTGCCTGCAACATTTCAAACAAATGAGTACGTAGTAATCCGTTTTCTTCATCTTATTGATGGGTTTGTTACTCAATATCTAACGATAGGTAATTTTTCACTTACCAAATTAATAATAAAGGTTTTTTTGGGTTAGATCGCGTGCATGTAAATGTGTCGTACACCCACCTCCACCCGACGCTGCAAATAAGTAAGGTTTGTCACGTAAATAATAAAACGTGCCACCAGTGTGTTGGAGAGCAAACCCACAACATGTACAATTTAAGTACGACGCTTTGGTGGTGATTACAACCACCTTTATCAGGCGATTTGCCAGAATTGTGAAGAAGTCTTCCTTCATAAAACTGTTTATTAGGAAACATTTGATCAGGCCCCATGATGTAAAGTGCAGTCTCAAGCTTAAATTATCCACTCTCTATCCGATCTATTCTTACATACTATGAAGAAGGATAATTGCCCGAAACGTCGCCCATTATATATTTGACATTTGAAGGCCATGGTGTTATAAACGAATGTGTTCAGTGTTTTTGTTGTTTTGTGCTTGTGCACGAATGCCAATGCAGAAACATTACCAAATAATTTGTAGACGGTATTTGTTATGTTCAATCAAATGGATATTATTTGTACAGAATCTGTCTTCCTTGAACATTGCCATACGTATGTACCATTAACGCGTTTACTGTGTAATATTAAACTACTGTATTAAACCACTCGGAAATTGTAAAGTGCTCTTTATTGGTAAGATGTAAGCAACTGATTGATTTAGAACTGTTTTTGTGTTTATTTTGTTGTCCTTCCCACGCACCTCCGATTAGCGCGGTTGGCAACGTGCGTTGCGAAAGAAGATGAACATACATACAGTACATGCAATTGATCGGATTCATTGTTAAGTGTTGTCGCAGCACCATTATAATTATCGCCTAATTGGCGGTTGTCCAAGTTTACTTATTAATCAACTGAAAGCATTGGTAATCCTGGCGGCTCCCCTCCCTTACCCGATTCCCACTAACTCGCACTGACAAGCGTTGGTGAAGTATGGCCAAATAATCCCCAAGACCGACACGGCACGGGGAGGCCTGCATCCGAATAAGGGCTGTATATTGTGTTTAACACCGTGTGTATGCTAA